AACACCTTAATTACTGTCTTCTTACTTAAACACCTTTACAGCACTATGACTCTGTAGCTATAATTCAATCAAGACTCTGCTTGCTTTTTATGTTGTCTTGAAATGAAGGATATATGATGAATTACTTGCTATTTTTCACTGACCAGAGCCATGTTTTTGCTTTGCCAAAATGGCTGTTTCCCCTGGCACTAAAAGTGCTATTGTTACATACTGGTGCGTAGTTTAACGACATGTAAAACATACCCAAACGGGAACTGCTGTTCAGAAATGATGACCAGGATCCTCTGACGCTCATATGGGCTATCGCAGGGCTCCAGAAATGAGCTCGAGCCTCATATCACTGAGTCATTTCCTTTACAGGAACCCAGAGGATCCTGCAAAAACAGCATGTCTGTGCTGACAACCATTCAATAATATGGTGGTAAGCCCACACATTTTCTGCCATCTTGCACATTGGTATTTCTCTGCAACGCTGAACTGGGAAAACTAAACCTTTCTGTAGGATTCATTTACGGTTAAGATTTCTTTCTGTCAGTACTGAAATGACTCTCTCCGCACTGCAAGGCAAAATGAAGGGCAAAATCACAGCTTTTTGCAGTTTTATAGATTATATTAGATATTTAGTGAGTGCAGAGAGGATTCTTGATTTACACCCAGTTCAGTTTTACTACTTAAATCAGCACCGTCTATACCTGTGTAGGAAAGAATATTTCAAATACCAGGATTACTACCTGCTCTCTGACACGAGCACCAGAACATCTTGCACTACTGTGACTGCCGCATTCCACCTCACTACAGTGCTGAGCCGTCATGTCACCTGAACAAATCTGCATATTTGTAACCTGAGCTGAAAATGGCTGATAAGTAAAGTTTGCCCTGGTCCTTTTCTCGCATCTCACAATGTTTGCACTCACCACATGCAGGGTGAGTCATTGCATAGTCATTCAATTGGCTTAAATTACCTCCTTTCATGGTCAACAATGAGCTCAGCTGAAGAGACTAAAGCGGGGGAAGTAGGGCCTTCTGGGAATGCTCCATTTGTTCATGAATCCTGACTCTAATTGGTTGTTATTGCGACTGGCAGTCACCATGCTAAAGGGGTGGAGTAGGCCAGTGTTTGCTTCATACTCCTCCTCAGCCTGTTGCACACCAGGCTGCCAGATATAACCAAGAGTTGTAATCGCCAGAGGAGTAGGAGATTGATGGACAGAATCACATCACCATGGGCACAGACAAGGTGATGTTGATGGAGCCATACAATCAGCTATCCATATTAGTAATTATCTTTAGGGCTGCTACTGAGGATTATTTATTAAAGCTGCAGTAGGTAACTTTTATTAAAAATGTCTGAGAAAAATTGTTGAGTGTTGAGTCTTGCTCCCAGCGTCATTTAAGTGTTGGTATTCGACGACCTTGGCTCTGATTGGTTGCTTTCCTTCAGCCGCGGTGGACTCAAATACCAGTGGGAGCTCTAGGAGGAACCAGAGGAACCTGATTTTTCTCATAAATTATCGGTTTCATGTTCTGTTGTCAGGATATAGTGAAGGTTTCAGCAAATATGAGAAAGTTATTTTTATAAAAGTTACCTAATCAAACTTTAATGATTTGTTGATTGATGGCAGCTGTTTTTATAATAACCATAAACTCTCTTTAAAATGTGAACAGTTCTCCTGATGGACATTTTTACAATTTATGGATTGGTGGAGGCCAAAGTCTGCTGGAAATAGGTAACTGTGTGCTAACATAACATAACATAACATAACACCATAACAACTTAACATGGTGATAATACAACCCTAGTGGCCAAAAATCAATGAATGCTGCTTTAAAATAATCTATTAGTTGTTAAGATAGTTTTCAATTTCTTTACAATTACTGGATCTATCGTTTAAGAGTTTTAGCAAAAGTTATTTCAATAGCATCTTTTTGCCTGTGTAAGGTTTTTAACAGAGAAAGGCAACAGGAATCACAAGGAGAGAGGAGGGGGGATGACATGCAGCACATGTGTTAGGTTAGATTCAAACCCAGGACACTGCAGTTATACATTTTGTGCCACAGATCTCTGGTTCTCCAGGATGCCCCGCCTGCTAACCATACTAAAATGCTCGAGTCTGTCAAAAGAAGGCCCCACCCAGAGCTAGTCACAGGCAGTCTATTTGCTCTGTGGGCTATTATGCATTGACTAACATCCCAGTAAAATCCCTCCCTTCGCTGTTCTCCTCCTCTGCTCCTCTTCTCCTCTTCATGACGTAGTAAGTGCAGTTACAACCCTGCCCCTGTGCTGGGACAAGGCAGCTGTTGTCATGTGCTCTGGGATAATGTGCAGGCTGCGTCTGACTAATGGCTGGCTCACTTGTATCCCTGTCTGCTGGTAGCACTATGCCAACTGGGCCATCCAGATCAATGATGCCCTGAGAGGAGGGATATAGAAAATACACACTCTCAAACACTGACACAGTCTGATACATTATGAATACAGCAAACAGCACACATACACAGACACAAAAAGTCAATTATAACATATACAAAATACGGGGAAAAGGAGAATAAAACATTTACTGTTTACTTTTATCTTGATTCCCGCTGATCTCAAAGATCTCCTGCAGTCTTTCGGTCACCTGACAATGATGATGCTGATAATTTGTTCATCATTTACCCCCAATCCGGCAGGCTCATAAACTGAAACCCACGGGCTGACCGCTCGGTAAATCTAACACAAACTGTGGCAGTTGCAATGGAGAAGATGCCTGGTGTTTTAGCATCGTGGGTCTCCTCAGATCTGGGTGAAGGCAGCTAATGTTGGCAGGGCAACTTCAGAGTGATCCCATATGATACAGACCGCTGCACTTCTACCTCATCCCACATGGTGTGCCTTGGTCTGGCTTCACACAGGGCAGCTGAGGGCATCTGCTGTAAATGTGTGGGTGTGTGTGGTCCGTGTAAAATTGCAAGTGGAGGGTCACTTAGCAGGCAGACACATGTCCACTGGTTTTTCTTTTGTTTGCCTGTTTTTCTTATTATTTTTGTTTTACATGATTAACACATCTCCCTCCATTTGGAAGCCTCGTAAAATATATCCCCTCTTTTTTTGCCCGAGTCTGGTAATGGCTTGTCACACTCTCCTAGTGCAAAAAACATGCCAAGAAGACCGGGGCAATGAAGAACTCCAGACAGATGGCAGCAGCGCCCAGCTCTGGCAGAAGTGGGCATGGACACTGCCCAGCACAGGCAGCTAGAGGGACTGACTCCCCATCTCTCTTCAGACTCCCAAAACGATGCTTTCCAGACCACGGCCACATGTTACTATTCTGTCTGGATGTTTAGCAGAGAGATAAACTATATGGCAGAATTTGTTTAGCCCCTTTAACCCACAAACTGCAGAAGTTCAGTCTTTCTCTATCACCTCCTCTACTGTTACTACCCCCCCCTTCAAAATACAATTGGGTCTGGTATGCAACTTCGTCAGTCACAGAGGCATTTCAAAGCAAAGAAGCTCCACCCTGCAGCAGTGGAAAAAGCAAGGATGGGGGTGTACTAAACTTTGCCATCTCTTACTTCTTTACTGCTGCCAACCCTTTGGTCCCTGGGAAAGAAGAGGGTGGGGGTTTTTGGCCCTGGGGTGTCCATTTATTCATCAACCCAACATCAGCCCCTCCCTTCCTTCAGCCCTTCAGCCTAGAAACCTGCCTTTGGGTATCGGGTTGTTGGGACACACCTCGACACACATACACACACACACACACACACACACACACACACACACACACACACACACACACACACACACACACACACACAGGACCACCAGTTCCCTCCCCCCGCTGCCTGTGATCACAGTAACTCCCCGAGGGTCAGCACAGAGGGGCTTCCAGTGCATCATCAGACGAGTGATTTCTTGCCTCTGTGTGTGTGTGTGTGTGTGTGTGTGTGTGTGTGTGTGTGTGTGTGTGTGTGTGTGTGTGTGTGTGTGTGTGTGTGTGTGTGTGTGTGTGTAGAGGTGGGGTTCGTTCAGACCCTCTCTGCCCCATCATGTGATTATAATGTCAGCCCCCTGAGCCTTGTGATCTAGGGTGTTGTGCGGAGGGGTGTCTTCAGTTCGCAGATGGAGACAGTTGTGAAATGAGAGGCGTTAGTGATCCTTCTGACTATACGCTAATATGTTGTTGTGCTCATTTTAGAGCTGCAAATAGGAATCGATTAGAAAATTGGCAACTACTGTGATATTTTGTGTTATTTTTCAAGCAAAATCATTTGACAAACATTTGATGGTTCCGCGTTCTCAAATGTGAGAATTTGATGCTTTTCTTGTTCTCACCTCATAGTAAATTTGATATTTTTAAGGTTTATTGGACAAAACAAGCTATTTGAAGATGTCACCTTGTGCTCTGTTACTTTGATTGTCATTTCAATAATTGTATTGTAGTTAGTTGCAGCCCTAGCTTTTTTTAATATCATATCAACACATGGTTTCAGCTTTTAAGCTTCAGAGCCTGAAATGGATGGACAACTTTTTAATACATCTCTGATATTTGAATTAAGATAGGTATTTTGAGCAAAAGTAACTGTACAAGATAAAAAATAGCTTTCTAATTCTTGCAGGAATACATTGACATTGTCATTAAGCCTGAACTGTGTTGCAAACTTCTTTTTTGTGAGCACAGAAGAGTTTATTTCAGTGTTTGTCAGGCAGGGAGGCAGGAATTGAGGCAGTGATCTGATATCTCTGATGGAACTTGTGGCTTTCTCTGCAACACACGAATTAGACATAGCCTAGATATGTATGTCCTGCTTGAAACCGTGTAGGTCTGTTATTATTTGAATGGTGAATTTTTTTAGGCCTCAGCAGCACTCTGGGTTTCTGTCCCCTTACACAAGTACTCTTTCTGTGTGCTATCTCTGCTCCTCCCTCCCTCTCTCGTCTCTCTTGTCTCTCAGTGAAATTAAACTGATCTAATATGTCTCCTGACCTTAGCCCCTGTCTCTTTCTCCGTCTCTACCAGGTGTAGATGCTCCAGGCGCAGCGGGACCCAGCCTCCGTGTCAGAGAGGGACGAGGCTGCTCCCACCTGGGCCACAGCACTCCTGTGAAACTCAGCTCGTGGTCTCTCTCTCGGAGTACTAACCGCCCAGATTATAGAATAGAGGGGCGACAGGGAAGCCATTTTGTGAGGTGAAGCTGAGTCTCTGTCCGTGCCGAGAAGGAGCCAGGAGTCGTCGTAGCCTGGATATTTTTGGCTGCTCCCTGCCCTCTGAACTCCACTGCCATGACGACTGCAGTACAGCCCAGTGAACTGGTGTTTGAATTTGCCAGCAACGGGATGGACGAAATCAATCAGGTGAGTATCGCACTAGAGAAAGCACATTTTAAACTTTAAGATTGTCTGTTGCTTTAATGCATGACTGGGCTTGTAGGCTACATTTTTTATTTGATCTAAAGACCTTTGGACCCGCGTCTGATGATCCATCCTTTTCAGGCAGATGTACTGTATGTGATCTGGTTGATAAATGTAAGACTTTTCATAGCAGGGCAAACAAAACCTGTGTAAACAGCATGGTCACTGGGGTAGGATTAGCTGTGGCTCAGAGCCTGTGATCTTTAACTCTGACAACATGTTAGGGAGGCAGGCGGAGGGGTGGATGGAGCAGAGAGGAGGTCTGGGAAGAGGAGTGCAGGCTGCTGGGAGCACAGAAATGGAAAGATTGAAAAACCTGCAGTGAGGTTAGGGTGCGTGGGAGGTTAAAAGGGTGGGGCTTAGCCATGAATGTGTTTATGGCACAGAGGTTACTGTGTGTGCATGCTATGTGAACCTGTGCCTATGTGTTTTTCATTGCCTGGTCAGGTGTGCAGTTATCTCATCCCCACACCCGTGTCTGAATCCTGTGGAGCAGGCTTGATTGTAAGTGTGGTTGTATGTGTGTTTATGTGTACCGGTATCTGTATGTGTATATCTGGAGTGACAAGTTGTCACTGGATCCCTGAATAGCACCAGTTCAGGTATAACCTGACAGACCAGTTACAAGGCTGCTTGGAAGGGATTGGATTATTCCACTAAAAGGTCTTGCATTGTTCCAGCGCTACAGTTTTGTTCCTTGCTGCACCCACTCAGCTTGTTATGCAAGCAGTATGCCCCTATTTACCAAGTCCTGGAAATACCCCCAAAAGGAACAACAGACTAACTTACTATTGCAGTGGCCATTTTGTTTCTGCTTCTGCTGGCTGTAAAGATTTATTTTGGCCACAATAAAGCTGTTGGAGCTGAGTGAAATCATAGAGGAGGTTCGGTAATGATTAGCCATGCTATATTGGTTTTTAAGTCAATAAGTAGCTCCCTAAAGTGTATCTTGTATTGACTGCAGGATGATACTTCTACTACTGTGATTTTCAGCACAATCGAGTTCCGATCCAACAATTGGTCGTGATAAAAAACATTTTTCTGCATTTTCAATCTACAGGAACAAAAGACATTTGGCTATTAAGTAAACAGCCCATTTTTAAAACGTGACAGTACGTATCTCATGCTATGAGCTGCTGCACTCTCAAATATCGTAATTATGAGGATATTGAAAGTGTACAGACAGTTGGACTCCATTGTGGTTGGGCAGGTAAAGCAGAAGAGAGTGGGGTGTGGGGGGAACAGCTTGCACAGATGCTGTTGCTTTCAAAGGCAGAATGGGGAACTCAGAAATGCAAATCGACCTGATTATTATCGCTCCTGTTTCCCTACTAGAAACACTGTTCAAGTCAACGAAAAGGAAGAAGCAGTTAAAACCTTTATGATATTCAATATTATTTGTCAGACGCTGGTTCTCCTGACCACCTTCTCACAATTTTACACCTTTCATAGTTATTATCATGCACATTGCAACATGCTTTTCAAACTGTCAGCACTTAGTTTACATGACAATACAAGACTAGTTTGAAGGCGTTCCCAGCAAAAGCAGAATCCAGTTAACATCAAAACAACAGCAGAGACAGCAGCTTCAGACGTCTCATGCACTGTCAGCAAACTGCGTGGGACTTTCTGCGTTTGACGGGAGGGGGTGGGAGGTACTCCTGTTTCAGGAGCTCAGCATACCAATAGTCAAAATGCCTTTGTCTACACACACTCTCACTCAAGGACAGCAAACATCATTTAAGCCCAGACGAGGAGATGTGGTTGCCTTACTGTCTTGCAAGCTGATAATATGTCTACCAAAGGCTCCGTTTAATGGGAAACATTCAGTGTATGTCAGTGAGACATTGATAGTGTCTGTAGTCAAAGCAAAAGTCAGGGTTTTTATTAGCCCCAGGAGGCCTCAAGGTTTTGCTGCTTAGATGACGTAAGCTATTTGTTGTTGATCTTCAAAGTTATGGTAGACATCTTGTGAAGCCATCCTGCTGTAGACTCACAGACACCTACATTAGTACAGTCTTTTGACTTACTAATAAACAATCCTGGGGTATATCCTGCTGATCCTGCTTGGGAGGACTAACCGTTAAATACAGTGTCCAAATAATGAGCTGGTCTGTTAGTTTCCTGGTTAAAGTGTAGCTGAAATGGGAGTGTATCCATGGACTCCATTGCACCCTTTTCCCACCCCCACGGCTCAAAGCCCAGACACCTGGTATGCCCCAGAGGTCCAAACCAACAATGGACACTTGTCCAAAGAGACAGATAAGCCTTTATTCATGTTCCTCGTACTGCACCTTTTCTCTATCCTGTTCCATCTTTAATCAGGTCATGCCTGCAAGAATGTGGTCTTGATTGATCTCCATTTATATTTACTGAATTCTGCTGAGTGTTTTTAATGGGAGAGTTTTGTGATACATCTAAATCGACCCTAGTTCAATCAGCAGTGCAAATGTTTTAGTAGTTGCACCTTGGTAATTGTAGGGCAGCAATGTAAGCGTCATTCACTGGTCTTTTGACTTGAGAAAATCCTGTCAAAGATGGAACACACTCTATCTTTGGTAGGCTGGAACAGTGTTGTTACGATGAACATTTAATCAAAATGTTTCAGTGGGGGACATTTAAATACATTTAGAGGCCAGTCTTCAAACAGCCAAAGCAGTTGCAATAGCTGCTTGGCACTGGCATGACTTCAGTAAATGTTTTCAAGTGTTGTCTGCTGCCATCTGCTGGTGGTCAGTTGATTCTGAGTTCAGAGTACCTGGAATGACCTTTTTATTTAAAACAAATGCCATGATCATGACATAGAAATGTTCAGTTCCATTCATTTCCAAATAAGATCTGCCTCTCATGTTGTTTGTTTTTCATACTTGAAATAAACAAACTCACAGCTGTCACTTAAGGCCACAAGAACCAGAGAAACATCAAAACAAGAGTTGCTAAGAAGCACATGGCTTATTCAAAGGAATGAATTAGTCCTTATGTACCTCCTATTGACACGAACCAAGCGCCCATTGAGCACTCTTGACACAGAGCAGCTCTCAGATATGTTGGGCTCCTCAGTTGGTCCTCAATGGTTTGGCCCAAACTCCAGTAATTCCCTCTGTCCCCTTATTACTTCCTGCATGACCTGAAATGAGGCGGCAGGGTTAGAATTCCCAAAGCACGTTCAGGACATGATGAAGGAGGTGCTTGCCTGCAATTCATGATTGATCCATTAACATTCATTTGGGTTTATATAATCTCTGAGCATAAGATTAACTCCTCAGGAGAAGTAGGCCAAATCAAACAGCTGGTTCCTGTCTTCTTCAGCGGGTCCCCGTGGACGCTGCAGCACCACAGAAATGAGCTCTCCTCCATGCTATGTGCCTCCACATTAGCTGAAATTGAGTATGAATCTACAATATTTTACAAGGCAATAAAAATAAGAGACCAGATCCGGTTATAACATTAATCTGATGTCATCTGGGGTTTTTATATTGCATTTATGATGTGAACTGGAGGAATTAATGGTGTTTTTATTGCGTATTCACATGCATATGTGCAAAGACCATCAGTTCCCTGCCTCCCAGTGATCGCTCCTGTGTTACAACACCTCATACCTTTCTCTGTATGTGTGTTTCCTCTCTCTGTTCAGCTGGACGACCCGTCAGTATTCCCAGCAGTGATTGTTGAGCAGGTGCCAGCAGCCGATCTGCTGCAGGTCTATTCAGGCCTGGAGTCCGATGAGGTGACCAACGGCATTATGGTGGACACCACTCTCCACGTCGTGGAAGAACCTTCCATCTTGGTGGGAGGTGTGGACCTCTCAGGTAAAGATGTTTACTACAATTTAAAGGGAATAGAGCTTAGTTAGGTGCACATACAATACACCAATGTTTAAGTCCAGATCACAACAAAAACATCATTGTCTTTTTGAGTTGTTAATGAAAGAAATGTGAATCTCACCATCTATGTGTGACTTTAGTGTACAGGCCTGTACTTTACAAGAGTTTCTTACAAAGAACTATGTAATTTGGTACTAATTATTGAGAAATTAAAAAAGTGTTCAGTTGGTATAATTCCAGTTAACTAATTATAGTTCATCGCTGTAACGTATAGAGCGCATGGTAGGTCATGGAGGACAAAGTTTACAATAAGAATGAATAATTTGCATTTAAATGGGGCTATTCTTTGAGACATTCCTATTTTCCCTAAAAACAGTACCAAATTACATAGTTTTTCCAGGAAACATCTTGAAAATTGATAGGAATTTTGGGGGTAATTACAGACCTGAAAATAAGGCATAATCATCATCTTAGCCTGTACTTTTACCTGATCAAGAGCCCTGTTTCCCATTTTGTCCTTGATTATGTACCTTGCAACAAAAATTTCAGACATAAAAGGAGACTGGTAGTTATGCTAGCCATTTGGCCGTATCCGACAAAGCCCCTGATATACAAGTGCACAAATACCACAATATATGATTTCACACTGATGAATTAATTTTTGTGTTGTTGACAGAAACAGCAGTCTCAGGTGCAGAGGACAGCATGGAGACGAACGAAGCTGCAGCAGCTCTTCTTAACATGGAGTCTCCAAACAACATTTTGGACGAAAAGCGTATGAGTAAGTTATTTTTCATGTTCTGCAGTTTCAAAAATGGGGGCAAACATTTCAACTCTGATGTAACAATGTTTATATTTTGAGCAGGAGACACATTGTTTATGGTCTATTCATGGTTTGCCTGTGTTTCTGTATGTCTTGTTCACGTATAGTTCACACCTACGGCACTCTGTTGGAGTCAGATTTATACGTTCCTCTGAGGCCTGACCAGATGGATAATAGTGCCCTTGACATGTCCCTAGACGAGGACACTTCATCCATGGATGAGATACCCCAAAAGTGTCCCTTAAAACCGCAGAAAAAAACCAAAGGTAATACTGTTGTCCCTTTCCTCCTTGTTAGAGCACAGGAATGATCTCTTGTGCTACAATTTCAGTGTTATAAGTAATTGGATGATTTCACTGTGACCTCTCATCTTATAACGCAATACCCCTCAATTTGAATCATAGTGCGGAAGCCGCGGGCGGTGCGTCCCTGCTCCCCTATCACCACCCCTAACCTGCCACTCAGGAAGAAGAGCAAAGAGGGCAAAGGTAAGGCTCACTAACTAGTCCGCTTCTCTGTAATGAGCCAATAAAAATCAAGGTCTCTCCTCCTCTTGTGTACGCTCTGTTTCCTCCTGTGGAGTGTGCAAACAGCAGTCCTCAACCCCTGCAGTCCAGCGGGGTTGAATCTGGGCAAGTTAATGGATGAGGGGATCTCAGAGTGCTGTGTTTCACAGGGAAACAGAAGTGATTGCAGGCTGGAGGGCACATTGATGCTCTAGCGATAGAAGCAGACTAGTGCTGCTCAATGTGAACCCACAATGCACCATACAGTGTGACACAATGAGGAGGGGGCTGGGGACGGCAGGTTCAGCTGCACACATATACATCACCCTGTCATGGTGTCTGGGATTCAAGTGACTACTGGGAGTGTTGCTGTTTTTAACCACTTCTGGCCAAAGCATCTCACAAATTAGAGTAATCTACTCCCAGGCTTGGTATAATTAATTCCCTTCTAAGGCACACATGCACACACACAACTGAAAACAATCGTTATAAGAAAAGAGTAGTTTCTCCTGTAACAATTACTAAATTAATTATAGATATCTATAGCACAGCTCTAAGGCCCCACCACGAATGTGTGAATGTTAAAAACATGAATGAATTTACTTCCCCCCAATTTGCAGGCAACACGATCTACCTTTGGGAATTCCTTCTGGCTTTACTGCAGGATAAAAACACCTGTCCCAAATACATCAAGTGGACACAGCGGGAGAAAGGCATCTTTAAGCTGGTGGACTCAAAAGCTGTTTCAAAGCTGTGGGGAAAACACAAGAACAAGCCTGACATGAACTATGAGACCATGGGAAGAGCTCTCAGGTAAGAGGAACGGACAAATGAGGGCCATTTTCCAAAGCGTCATTGTCACGCACATTAGCTCCCATTTATCTGTGAACCCTGCAGACATGATTCCACAGATATGTTCATGATAACACACTGGAAGGACAGTTTAAAATGTTATGAGGCTGTTAAATTTGAATGATGATATTGTCTATAACGTGATAAACAGCTCTACTTTTTCCTCTAGGTACTACTATCAGAGAGGCATTCTGGCTAAAGTGGAGGGGCAGCGGCTTGTCTACCAGTTTAAGGAGATGCCAGCTGATCTGGTGGTGATTGAGGATGAAGACACAGGCTCTGATGCCAACTGCGGCTATGGAAATCAGAGATCTACCAACGGGCGGTCTGTGGTCCGTGGAGGGTCCAAAGGGCACGGGAGGGCTCATGGTCAACACCATGTCTCGATGAAGCAGATGAAGAAAGAGCCTAATGATGAGTATCCGTACCAGGAAGCAAATGGTGGACAGACGGATCAGCTCCTTCAGTCGGTCCATATGTTGCAGGCCAGCCAAGGGTCAATTGTCCAAGACCCGACACAAGCTATGAGGTAGGAGAACACCCACTCTCTTTCAATAACACAATTATACACACTCTTTTAAAGTTTTACGCAGTTTGAATTATACAAAGGTCTTTTGAGAGAGGCTGTCAGCTAAATGAAGAATGATTTCATTTCATTTCTGTTTGAGTATAGCTCAGTGGGTGCTAGAAAACATTCATTAACTTATTAAGATTAAGAATAATGTTTGAGATCATTTAGAAACATTGTCCTTCATACATAGTTTATCCACCAAAAAACACTTTGGTAATTGAAAAATGTCCTGATCAAGACATCTTGGTCACAGTTCTTGACTGATTGACATTTTGGCAAAGAGTTTCGTGTATGCACGCTAAATGTGAATCTACAGCGAGCAGTCAGTTAGGTTAGCTAAGCATAAAGACTGGAGACTTGGGGAAACAGCTAGCCTGCCTCTACCGGTTGTCTGATAACGTCACAGTGATAAAAAGACTTTAAACAACATGTTGTTTTTACGCTATAATCTAATGTGTTATATAGTGAACTTCAATCTTCTCATCTAACTTTTGGCATGAAAGCAAACTATTCTCGTAATGGATCGTTATCAAAAATGATCGAAAGACAAAATCACATCAGTTGATGCGCTGTTATTGGTTTTTTTAACTGTCACCTGCGACGGACAGACTCCAAACCCAAGAAATACATTGATAGCAAAAATATTTTCAGATAAGTTTTTGAGGTGGGAAGCTTATTTTTTCGCACACAATTACTTGAATATAGTGCTCAGACACACACACACACACACACACACACACAGAAATGCCCTTGTCCTTGAACTTCACATAATACGACTGACTCAACTCTTGTCAACCTTTTATTAATGGCTTTGACTTGTAAGAGAGTTCAACATTACATCTATGAAAAGTAAGCTTTTCAGAAATTGAGATAAACCGATTGAACCTTTGATGTGGAGGAGTGGACGCCGTCATGGCAAAACCTGTATCATATAATCCAATATAATCCAGTAGTGCTGCAGTATACCGCCTTTGTAAATCTTATGATATTTGTTTTTTGTAGACAGCAGAGAGGTGTTGATCCAACTCTTTGGTGCTCTTTGTTTTGCATTATACAGGACAGGTTATTGTGTTCACTGCCTGTATAATCAATGTGTTATCAGTCATCTGGCTTTTTTCTCCAAGCTGTTAACATCGTCTGCAGTTAAGAATTAAGGAGAATAATGATTTCTGCAGTACAGCTGACGACGCTGTTTGCTATATTAATAAGGGCATTAGTGCTGCTGTTTAGGATCATAGCTGTGCGCTGGGTAACTCTCTCAATAGGGTTCCATTAAAAAATAATCCTTGTCTATATTTGCAAAGATACAAACTGAATATTCAATTACAACAGCTCTGTCAAAGAAGATTAAGAAACGCAAGCACATATTCTGTTCATTTTGTCTTTCCAGGACCATCACTGCTCCTGCATCAGTTCCCATGGTCCTGACATCTCCCCTCACCACTGTTCTGGCCAACGGGGACTCCAGCCACTGCTCCCCACCCCGGGTTATTCTCCACACCATGCCCTCCACCACAGCAGGTGGTAAAGATGTGCTCACCATCCAGACGGCCTCTCTAGCAGGTGGAGCCAGCAGCCTGCAGGATGGCCTCCCTCAGCAGCTCCTGGTCACCAGTCTGGGCTCCTCCGTCGTCTCCACCTCCTCCTCCTGCACTTCCCCTCCAGGAGTTATTAGTTCCACCGCTTCCAACCACAATGGTCTGCCTCGTCTGGTCACCATCAACACAACCTGCGGGCAGACCATGGTGGCACAGCAGCCTGGCACCGTAATTGCCACCGTGCTCAAATCCAGCGACCTCTCGGGGCTGCAGGTCAAAGAGGAGCTGCTGGACCCCAGCTACTTCCAGTCGATGGTGAACGGTGATCCATCACTGGCGGCAAATACGTTTGAGAAAGAAGAGATTGAGGTAGGGGAAGCAGAGCTGCAGTATAGGACTGTGATCATTGATACCAGTCAAAGCCAGGGCCACGAGGCTGTGAGTGAAACTATAATTAATGGACATTCCTCCCAGAGCAGCAGCCCTAGTGAGGGCCTGACCCCTGTGGAGGAGCTGGAAGTGCGTGGGGAGATGTCCCTGCAGCCTGAGCAGGGAATCAAAGGCCTCCAGGAGCTGCCACTGTCTGTCCAATTGCCTGCAAACTTTATCCAGATAAAGACAGAGCCTGCAGAGGCTTAGGGCTGCAGGACTCCTCCACACAAGCTGAACCAAAAACAACCATTGAATCCATTTTGACCACAGACTTTTCTTTTCCTACCACAGTGATCTGATCACAGATCAGAGCGAGGGGATCATGGCAGCAAGTTGCTCTTAAAGGTTGGTCAGTTCAGCCTCAGGATTTATTGTTTACTCACATATATTGTGACCATGTGCCTAATTTTAAAAATCAAGGGAGTGTTTAGTTTTTCTAAGAAGTCACTTTTCAGATTATTGGGATTATTTTCCAAGGACATTAACCCCAACACACAAAGATAAAGATACACAGGAAAGTACACATGCGCACACACATAAAACGAGCTCCCCCTCTAGGAGAACAGCCATTGGATAAACCAGGGATCCCTGTCTACCAAATGTGCCAGTTAGTAATTTTCTTACCTTACATCTCATTGGACTGTGTTCAAAGAGGAGAATGCAACAAACCAAAACGGGGGACTGAATGCCAAATGGTGCAATGAAATCAGACTTCTGAGAACGTGCCGAGGGTGTGTGTGTGTGTTGTTTTTAAACCACATACAAGCTTCTTTTTTCCATGGATGAGGGATGGATACTGTGTCATGGTTTCCAGGTGAAAAACACTTCTCAGAGTTTAATTGAAGAGTGCCTTACAGGAAAGTACAAACAGCTCGAGACTCTTTCTTTGAAATGTCTGGGAAAAAGATGAAAAACGGACTAAATGGCTTTTCAGACTTTCAGACTTTCAGACTTATTTTCATATAAACAAAAAAGTTATGCATTCACTCTCTATTACTCCTGGCCTTAAAACACTGTGTTACTATGGAAATGGGCATTTTCTATCCACCAAGGACAGTCCAACATCAAAACTGTTTGTATAGAGCTGCAGACCCGAGGCACAGCAAGATAGGGAGGCACAAATGGAGAGAAAGAATACGCAGGATAAAACAGATTTTATCAGTATCTGCTTCGGAGGCTCCAAGGTTTAAATCCTGCTTATATGAAATGGAATTATATATATATATATATATATATATATATATTTATACATATATAATATACAATTGAGATTCAATTTTAAGGCCATAGCGAATTTATTTATTTTGTGAATTTCTAAATTCTGTATAAAAAAGGCACATTTGTCTTCTATTTACATGTGTAAACATGAGGGAAAATACAAAGAATATGAACGTTAATACCAGGCAGCCTATTTGGTATTTTTTTTTAAGACCAACATTTTTCATTTGTATAGCATTCCATATAATCAGCTTTGGTATTTTCTTAAGTTTTGGACTCAGCAGCATCATTATTCCACTGTTATATTCTCTTACTGTAGATATGCCCTGTTGTGTGTCTGATTTAAACATGTACTGAATGTGCTTTGGTTCTTTCTTTTCAGCAGACATACCTCTTTACATTTACCTTTTTCAACAGTTAAGCAGTAGGGACTCTGCATTCAATAATATTATTTTCTGTGTACTGCATAAACTACAACATGTATCAGTCAGTATGTCTTTGAAATCATATCTCAAGTTTCTTTAGTAATTTGGTACAAAGCTGTACTAGCTGTTTTTTAAAGCTCCTCTCCTCTCCTGCTCTGGCCTTGTCTCCTTTCTCCTTGTCTCCTCTCCCCTCTCCTCACGTCTCCTCCCATCTCCTTTCCTTATTCCTCTTGTCTCATTTCGTCTGGTCTCCTTCTTCCTCTCCTGCTCTCGGGTCAGTCAAGTCGGTGCCTTCTTTATTTGCTGTCCCACTTTGTTAAGGACCTCTCAGGCCAGCCATCTGATTGGCCCCTCGGCCCTACCGGGGATGAAGCCATATTGATCCTGAGAGGTATCACAGCTAAATTGGTTGTATTTTCCACCCGGACTGTGGCTGCAGAGTTAGGACATTAAGACATACTGACCTCCATCCACACGGGCACCTGAGGGCAGGAGTTAAAAGCTGCTTTACAACCCCACATCAGCCAAAAGGCTCTGGGTCTGCAAAGACACTCTGAATGTATACTTACTGTTTAAGTACATGCTTATGCAAATCTTTGACAATCAATAATTACACTGGGTTACATTTTCATCAAAATTTGTCAGTCTTTTAGAGGGGATTTGCTGCTTTTTTTTGCGTTATATATATTTCCATATCTGCCCTGCGTTTTCTTTCAAGCACTGTTGTCTGTGAGATGTTGAGGTATGTCCACTGCTTATGTTTTGTTGCTTCTTTTGTCTTGGGTTGTCAATTGCCTCCCTTAAATATAGAATAGATTTTTAAGAAAAAGTCAATGTACTTATTAAAAACAAAATCTTCTTCACTGAATATCCTCTTTATTTGTTTTGTTTTCTGTTTGTCAAAGGGGTTTTGAAATTGTGTGAGGCACAGACAAAATGTCACAGAATTAAAAAAAAATTAAAAATTAAACTTGCAAACGAATAGCTAGCAAGGGGTTACTAAGTCAATTAATTTCTACTGTCGAGATAATGAAAATGAAGTATTTCTGCCTTGAAAACTCAAAGTCATGTTGTAGGGCTGTTGCAGCTTTGAGGGACTTTTCGACCACATGGAATTTGCAGGCCAGAGACTGATTGGACTGTACTTAAGAGCACTGCTTCTCCAGTTGCTGTGGGTGGATGAATACATTAGCATGTGACATGCCCAGAGCTGAAGACAGCCGAGTCTGTCACCACAGCTTGCAGAGTGAAGAGTGAAGAGTGAAGAGTGTGTGTGTGTGTGTGTGTGTGTGTGTGTGTGTGTGTGTGTGTGTGTGTGTGTGTGTGTGTGTGTGTGTGTGTGTGTGTGTGTGTGTGTGTGTGTGTGTGTGTGTGTGTGTGTGTGTTGAGACTCTGGTTGGCGAGTGGAAGGGTTACACTCAATTGGATTGATTCTGTTAGAGCATGTGTGTGTGTGTGTGTGTGTGTGTTTGGAGGGGAGTGTGTTGGAGGGGGGGTACATTGGCTTGGGTTGACTGTATGTGTGTGTGTGTGTGTGTGTGTGTGTTCGTTCAGGGTCGGGGAGGGATGGTGGTGTTGAGGAAGCTGTCTGGCAGCAGGGCTTGCCTACTGTGCCTAGCTCTGTCTACACCCACATGCACAGCTGTGTACCACACAATCCAATCTTGCCATAGGGTTAACACACATGCATTAACACACACTCACACACACAGAAAAACAAGGCCAGTGGTTCATAAACAGCCGCAACCATCACTACAACCTTCTTCACACCCGAAAACATCTTCCTGAGCCTTTTGAAAATAGGAAAATAGTTTGAAATGATTCTCAAATTATCGCACAAGCTCCACATTCAGCCACAAACCACCCTCCATTACATCTAAGCAGACACTTTGCTTTTCTGTTCAGTGGTTCATCGATTGCCTGCCATATGGTAAGCGGAGGTTGTTATGGATTACTAAAATAATGAAAGACTACTAGCAGCCGTTACGTCTGTGCTTTTCCTTTGGTTTGTGAGTCAGAGACCCTGAAGATGGAGCGAGAGTCGGGTCCTGGGAGAGGAGGACTATTTCTGTGTCGCCTGCAGCCACTGACACAGCGCGAGTGTTTACTGCTGTGCCATGCTGCCTCTCACAGTGGGAGCAGTTGAAGGATGACGGCTGACATTATTGTGCCTCCAGCCTGTAGCAGGAACAGTACAGGGAGAGCTTATTTAACCATCAGGTCACCAGACTGACTGCAACATTACAGAGAAAAGGACTTGATGACTGCAGTCTCATGGCCATTGCAGCTACATGCAGTCTGTTAACTTGACAACCAGCAGCCAAGGTTAAATTTCAAGAGATCACTAAATTTGAGGGTTTTCTCATAGAAAAGTAAATGTATTTAAGCAGGTGTAGCATGGTAACCCCCCCCAATAAAAATAGACAATGTCTGGTTTGATATTGGAACAGTACACCTCTCCCTACACAAGATGGCACTGGTAATACACGTGTCCTCCGCAGAGCCTGAGCCTCAGTCTGGATTGGAGAGAAGTATTCCTTCAGGTTACTAATCTAAATACAGACACTCCTCATACATTGGTTTTCACTCTCCTTCGCCCCAGAATAGCAACTCATAGATCTAAATGAACGAGCGATTATTTGAAATGAAAATAAGCAGCTGGGAGTGAAGTTTCCCTGCATTTTTGATAAGTAACAAAAGGAATGAATTCACATGTGAGCCTCTGTGATAGTGGCCATTCCTCAGCAGGCAGGCAAAATCCTTTGAACTGTGCTAACCTGGTAGACGTTCTGTATTTGTGTATTATCTTGCAGAGTAGTCGATCTTGTTTCCTCTCCTCATCAAAACACTGATAAACAAGTGCTGGAGGGGGGTTTCCTAGACAGTGTATAAAAAGGATGCGAACAATCGTGCAGGGCTTCATTTGAAATGATATATTATTCCATTCTGGTGTATAAGGGAGGAGTTCACTGTCACAAGCTCACGGATTTAACTCCTATCTAATGTAGACAGCACTGAACCACATCATACATTGTGGGAATGCAAATCAAGCTTCATTTATATAGATGTAGGAGTATTAAAAACCCCTAGACTAGTAATCAAAGATCATTTGATTTTGAGTGGTTCAAGTTATTTAGAGGAAAAAACCTCCTTTTCAAACTAAACTCCAGTGACTCTGTTTTTCTCTCCTCTCCACATATTTACAGTGGAATCACTAAATACCCTGTTAACTAAGCTACATTCATTTATTTAATATTGCATTATTTACATCATGAGACACTGTATATTTGAAAAGAAACCATGAATGCTGAATGCAAACAGCTTCAAAAGCTGTAGATTCTTTCCGTGGCGTAGATGCTTTCAATGACCTCTGGAGATTTGTGTGTTGGATACAAAGACATGGATGCTCCTTTTAGCATGCAACAAATGGACTGATCCACTTGTTCTTATATAGTTGTAGTAGTGCAGTATCACCACCATCCAGTCTCTTTCTGGGTCTCCTCCATGGTGATTTTTTTTAATTGTGTGACGTCTGTACTTTAAAGTTTGACTTTCATGGTTAATATTGGACTTTTGTCCCAACAGGCATGAGGAGCTCTCGGGGAGCCAGCTGTAATATCTGTATCAGCCTCTCCAGTCAGGGTGAGCCATCCCATTCAGAACGACTCTCAGGGCTTCCATGGCAATTTACTCTCACAACTACACAAAAGAGTCCTCAGAGTCCTCCGAGACCTCGCCAGATAGACAACTAACAGCATCTTACGGAAAAAAAAACACTTTACACTATTTCCCCCGCAACAACAGCAGCAATACCAGCATGCTGAATGCATCTGTTTTAATAAACACTATTTGATGTGATAAGCGGGGAATAGTGAGAAATGAATTATATAAACACTGATTTTATGAACTTTTCAGAAACGCCTCGGGGGCTTTGTGGTACACTTGTCAGTTTATTTGAAGTATGTTTGCAATTATTGCATTTGTTAACTCATGCCACTATTTTTTACTTGACATGTTGCTTTGGGCTATTGACATTATTGATTTGAAAATAACAATATGGTTGCAGTCTGAACTCCATTTATGAGCATATCCATAAAACATTTACATACAGTAATATGTTTCGCCCTCTATTTCACAAAATCCATTTCACTGCCAAATATTATTGATATCACTGACATTATTATCAAATGGAGCCAACATGAGTCAACATCAAAATTTACTTAGCAGGCAAAACAATGCATTATTATGCATCAGATACACAAGGGATTCCCAGGTTATAAAATAAAAACAATAAAAGCATACATGTCTAGTTTTTCTTGTCAAGACACTTTTAATTTTGATGCTAAATGTTTTCGCTAATGAGCAATGGGACTAATGGAGAAGATAGAAGGAGGTCTGTCTATATGGATTGCATGAGTCATATTCAAACCCGCCCTACATCAGCTTTCACACAAACACCCCGGGGTGTTAAGTTTCTTTCAAAGAAATCACATTGTTTCACATGATAGGACAACTGAGATTATTCATACAATGAAATTTTAATTGGAAAAAAAAAATAAGGAAAGAGACAGAAACATACACAAGGCTTCAAAGCAAAGTATGACAACAAGAGTGCTCCATTTTTGTCTCTGTGTTTAACTTCTGAATATCTCACATAGCTTGAATACTCTTGAGCATTTGTGCACCTTGTTATTCTGATGACAGAACATCAATTACGAATGCCTATCTCGCTTGCTTATCCGTTAGTTGCAGATGAGAGTTATTTCTGCTCGACAGATTGAGATGTGGTGTTACAGATTAAAATCGCCTCAGCAGAGAAGAAACAGTTTGAACAGTAGCACTATTTAAAGCGTTCTGTGGTTGACAACAACAGGGAAAACAATGGCGGATAACACAACAGTAACTACATCACGACAGACAGCTGAGATCTGTGCATCTTTAATTATACCTCCTTAGTTTAACATGATACCAAAAACAGATAAAAAAAGTGTTATGATACAAGGAACCAGGCCTGAGCAGCTTCTAATTCTGTACTGCCATATTAATATTATCTTTGCTCATTTGTTTCCGTCCCTCATTTGGTCTTAATTTGAAAATATTGCACATAGTGTTTTAATTGTATGTATTATATTTTATATCTGGTGTCTGGATACATGATTTTAGTTATTCATCATTTCTAACATGGTTTTTGTGCGTGTGTGCATCTAACTAGTGCTATATGAGCTACAGTAAGCAGGTTTGTTTATTGTGTCACAATGGTGGGTTTTAATTTGCTACTTATATCAGCAATAATAAAGAAACTGATCACAAAAAGAGACAAAATGTATATATTTAGTTAAATGGCTAACATGATAGCACCACTCAGACTGTTATACTGTACTATACTTTACTGTACTGTACTGTTATACATTTTCATACATTACAGTATTAGTAGAACAACCCATAGAGTTAAAAACATGGTAAGGACAGACTGAAGTATTTATTTATTTTAGAGCAGATAAACTTCTTGTGACATCTTCCAAACTGAATTGCACCCATTCAACAGGATCAAACAGCAAGGATACTAAATGGGTAGATAAGCGAAGAAAATTAGACAGCTGTAAACAACCACTGCCTTTTAAGAAAGAATCAAAATGCTTCAAATGGCATTTAGACTGTTTCGACTGACTAAATCTCAATGGGCCAACTTTCAGATTGGTTAATAACTGTGTGCAATGGACTGCTTTGGTCTCACAAACAAGTGCTCTGGAATATTTATCAAAGGGAGAATTTGCACCTTTGCAACGACATAAACAGTTTAAATCCCAGACAGCACACGCCCTCCTCAGATCCTCCCCAGCATACGGGCAATCCACCAGTTGCACGGCATGACAACCTGACAGATGACCCGGCCTCCTTGGTAGTAATATGGCCATGGGTTGAAGCCACCCAGGGGCTCGTGGTAGCGGCGGCAGTAGCGGTAACCACGGCGACAGTGCTGGCAGCAGTAGCCCCGGTCATCCAGACGGTTATCCAGCTCGATTCCGACATCTCTCTGCAGAGGACACAGGAGGGGCAGGGTTAGAATCACACACATGACAAATGCCAGTCCTCCCAAAGGCAAGGGCAGGAGAAGAAGAGGGGAGGGGGTGGCGTGAATTGATGAGCCTGCTTTGCTTGTAGGTCAGCAGAATATATGTAAAAACTAAACAAGAGTGAAAAGATCAGAATTGATGTCTGTGGAAATGCAAAGTTGTGCCATGCTTGATGACTGTGACAAAGAGATCAAGATAGCGGTGGGAGTATTCGAGCTTGATTTAAGCTCCAGGAGCATAAAACATGATATAACACCCTTGACCTTTCTATTATACCAGAGGTAGCACGGCTGTCGGCTGCACAATGCGCCATCTCTGAATCCAGCATTCACAGCCTCCCTACCAGTGCTATCTTCAATCAAAGAGACTCTAACGTTGGTAGTTAGCAGCATAATTACACTATTTCTTTCATCTCTGACCTCCTAACTCCCTCGACCGAAGCCCACACTCTGTACCAAAATGGCAGCCCCTCCTCCAATAGAGCATTCAAATTGGAGCTCCCCACGTCTTGGCGCCCTCCCCCTGACCTTGACTTTAAGTGCATGGCACATTCCTAAAGCAATTAGCAGAGTAATGATCGCCTAACAAGGATTCTTTCATTTGCTCTTGCTGGCTGCCTCTGAATTTATAGAGGGGCCAAATGAAACCCAAACGAAAGGTAAATTGGGTAGAATTAATGGCCCTTGGATTTTTCCATTGTGCTGGTTGGTTCGTGCCCTCATAGACTCGTGGGGGCTGAGTGCCATGCCTTTGATCAAGAGCAACTCCAAATGGGGTTCGGAGAAGTGCCACTTAACTCACTGCGCAAGTTGATGCAGCAACTGCCCTCAGTATGCATTTGACCACATTTCAATCTCTTTTAGTAAATGAATCCTCAGAGACAATCCGGCGCTGTGTCGTTAAACTGTTCGGATCCAGGAGCCGGTGACTTCACATTCAGAACTAACTGGCACAGTTCTTTGCAAGTGCTTACAATGACTCAGCTACATGCAATAGTGCTGAACAAAACACATCCACTGCTGGGAAAAGAAAATGTGTGGGAATTGTTTAAGAGGACAGGACCCACAGGAACACATGGAGTCCATCCAGTCCCCCGCTACATTAAGTATGGGAATTAGGGGTTGTCTTGCCTCATCAGTCAGTCAAAGGGGTTTTACACACATTGTATTTGTTTTCTTTTCAACTGCAGCTAGCTGACTGCAATCACATAACAATACATTGACCATAAGCATGACTCATAACAGAGAAAGCATCAGATGTGATAAATTGAGTAAAATTACACACTTGTGAGACATACTTAAAACACATAAAAAGGCTGCGACAGATGATATCTAGCATGGCTGGGTTTGATTTATTACTATGACAAGCGCAGGTAGGCTTTTAATGATTTATTGTTTCAGTCAAGTTTCAGGTCATCAGCTTCCAGGCAACAATCTGTTATGGAAACAACACGAAAGCTGTCAATGGACCAATGATAATCTTATCTGCTCCTCACAGCCCAAACTGGGGTTTTACGAAATCTGGAGCTCCCGCTCGGAAAATGAAGGAAATATTTTATTCAAATGATGCCGCGTTTATCAAAACAAACAGCCAATAGGCAGCATTGTACCTTAAAGACAATTAATCAGAGCTATCCTTTTAAAACGGAGGGTACATATTAATCACTCTGGCTTTGAGTTGCCGTCTCTAGTGGGATGCTGCGGTGATAAGAATGGTTCACCTTGGGAAATCTGAGGCAGTCACTCAAAAACAAGCAGCATTAATGAAGAGTAAAAGCCATTACCCCCTTGCTGCATTTGATTTCATCACACACTCAGGCTCACGTATACACATGCAAACACACACACTGGCACACACAGAGACACCTCTGTGCATAATATGAGGCACTGGATATGAATGAGTCTGCAGAGTAGAAAAGTGCGTCAGTCATTCAATAAGATGTAATGAATCAAAGCCCGACTCCTCTAATCTCCACACTTGTTGGTGTTATTTCACACACGCTGATCACCGCTCTTCATGAGCTTGAAGCACATGCCTGGATGTGTTATTAAATCTCATAGCAGAGCTCATCACATTCATTCTGGGATCAAAACAGCAGAGATAACATTTCTGTTTCAAACCCTGCTTTGTATTCAAAAAGGGTTTTTTTCATGCAGAAGCACAGGACAGTGCGGCACATGAGAATGCTTTGCCGCTTGTCCTGATCTCAGATTCTCATCTCACTGTGCTCGACAGTCAGGTGGAATGACAATGAAATTGGATGTAATTGAATAAGGAGATAGTCATGTATTTCAGTAAACTCTGCCGGTTTACCAAAGTGATAAGGAGCTTTAGCTTCAGTGTAAAAAGATTTCTCTAGAGGCACAAACAGCTCCTGTATTCGTGGATTTGAATTCTGCGCCTCTGCTATGCATGAACAGCCATCCAGCTTGACCCTGAATGTGGCTCCCACAGGTTTGTAAGGCTAGTCCAGGTCTGACACACACAAACACTGCGACGAAGATGGAAACACATACATCTTTACACCTGTGTGAGGTAAATTCATATGGTAAGGCCATGCTTTGTATATGGGTCAAGGACAGTGGTAGCATCCCTTCAGCCTTGTCAGATGGTAGTTATTCAGTTTGAAATTTCCAGGGCCACCTCTGATACATACTGCACTCTGACATGGCAGCTGTGGCAAAGGTCAGTTTCATATATCTGTCAGCCTCTGTCATGAGGACTTAAACGATTATTCTGCTTTACAGACGTGGCGCTGAAATTCAGACCAATGAAACGCAGATGAAGTGAATGCATGGTTTTTCATGTCTGTCTCAGTATATGTGCGTGTATGTGTGTGCGCGTGTGTCAGTATGGTAGATGAAAGGCTGTAGGTAGAAAGAGAAATAGAGTAACAGACTGTGTGTGTGCTTGGTGGTTTGCTGACTGTGTGCACATTTACATGAGTTCTGAATGAAGCTCCAATAAAAAAAAAAAGGTTTGGCTAACACATGTGGCATCCCACTGGAATGAGCGAGAGTTCAGACTCCCAATTACAGACTGGTGCCTGCCCTCTGCTTGGCCACAAAGGCCTTTGTTATCACCGGACCCACAAACAGAGCCTGGATGTGCTGCTGCTGGAATGGATTGCAGTGGTATGCATAACTCAGCTGATAGAGGCAGAACGTTTCAAAAGGAAAGCCGGGTTTTTCATCCCCTGGTATGTTTTAATTGCATAGCGCCGCATCTCCTGCCACAGACGACGAGGGAGAAGACAGAGAAGCTGGGGGGGAAATTGAGGAGTTGAGCGGGAGGTGTTTCTGGGACGGGCCTGATAAATGTCAACATTATAGGACGTCTCATTTCTCTGTGTGTCTCCTCACCGTTTCTCACAGCTCTGAGGAGGAGACGGAGCCCGGCTCATTATCGTTGAATTTAACTTTAGTGGCTATTCACCTGTAAGTACTAAATGTGTGTGCATGTGTATGTGTGTGTGTGTGTGTGTGTGTGTGTGTGTGTGTGTGGGGGGGGGTTATCTTTGCACCTGTGTTTATTCCCGGTATCTTTAGTGTGCCACTATTTTATTTGTGCCAGTATAAGTGCATAATTCCTGTGTAACATACTGCTCTATATGATTTCCCCTCACAGTCAGGGATAATTAACCATACGGTAGTGAGTGGTTTACATGCAGAACACCACAATATACCACATGGTCTTTCCATTCATTTCATATGCTTTGATAATTAAAGCATTATTAATAAATGTAACTTATCTGTGCAGCAAAGAGTGACCTTGAGAGTGCTCCTTTCACACAGTGCTCTCCATTGCTCAGAAAAAAAGATGTGAGAAAAGGAACTATCGGGTGCTGTAAGGCACAAGTTGCTGCCTTTGAAAGGCTGGATATTCCTCTCAATTAATGGGGAGACATTAAGGGAGTCTTCAATGAACTGGCCTTACTTAAACAGATATATAGAGCAATTGCTATGCCCTCTGGTGCACAAAGTCAGTTTTAACATCAATTAGTGAGCGATTTATATGCAGAAAGAGTCGAGGCAGAGCTGGAGCTGATTGAAGTCGCTTCACTGTATCTCATGGTGTGGTCCTTGGCTGACGCGGCGCAGAGGGGCCCCACTTACATAGTCATTTACAGGAACATGGTCCAGGACATCGCGGGTGAAACGCTGACCTGTGACCTCTGTGTCGGGTGCGTCCACGTTCTCCACCTCAGCATCTGAGTTCACAGAGAGAGCAAGTAAAGAGACGAGATGTTTGTGTAACTGCAACAATTTTTCTATTGTTTAAAGTAAAATGAGAAAGCTCTCGGATTAAAGTTTTGGCTTGTATACTCTATTTTCCCAGTGGCTTGATGTTAATTACTAACATTTAGGAGAAGTACATTGGAATTTATTCCAGGCTTTTCAATGCTTCTGTCAAATTGTGGTGTTGTGATAGTAAAAGAATCATTTTCCACAGATCCTAATTAGTAAAGCCTACACACCCTTTTGAGAAAGAACACCCTGAAAAGTAAATCTCCAAATGGCCATCGATTCAGCAGTGATTGTACTTTTACTCAGAATACATGTACATTTACTTGTACTTGTACTAGCATATTTCCATTTTCTGCTACTTCATACGTCTACTCCAATACATTTCAGAGGTTAATGCAATACTTCTTCTACAACTCCTGGAGTTACTATTTTTTTTGTACATTATTGATTCCTAAAAGTCTTATTCTGCAATCTGGTTTTAGACATTTAGTAGAATGAGGTGACATTTTCTCAAAGCATCAATTTCTTGATCGGCCTAATTCTGAGACTGCATGCTGAGATGCATTCATGTTTTCACATACAATATGAGCTACAATATGTAACAACATAAAAAGCAGCAGGGAGAAGAAAAAGTCTGTATTAACTGTCCCCTTCTAAACACATTTAACATAAATGGTCTACCACAGATGGTCTGCCAAAACGCACACATACACAATAATGACTAATGAATATTATATTGTGTTCATATTGTTTTGTTTCTATACATGTGCTGCAGTTGAATAATAGATTAACACTATCTGAAAAGACAGACACAGTTGGACTCCACTGAAATACAAGTCTACTTTTGTGCATACTGAGTTTTAAAATTAAATTTCCTTCTGTGAGCATCATCACCTGATTTGAACACAATCTGTTTTTTGCTCTACATCCTTCAGTTTTATTACCCTTGACTTGATAAACAGTCAAGAATCCACCTTATTTATAATTCATATTGCTCTCTTCTGTTTATATTAGTTGTATACGTGTGTACCTCACACTTCTACACAGTGGCTGATATGGTGAAATAAGTGAGAAGTTCAACATTTGAAGTGCTTTACAGTCCAACGTAATACGCTTTGCTTTGTTCATAATTGCAACACTTTTGTGAGGTTTCCAAGAAGGGTAATGGTTTATTATTACACAAAAAATTTATTTCAAATCACCCTTTTAATGTTAACTCCAACTACTGATATTGGTACTTCGTCCTACTTTTCCCCCTCAAAACCATAAATTCTATAATAAAATAAATACGTTTCATATAATTATTACTTATTTTAAGAAAACAAGACTTTTAGGGCTCTCATAAATATATAATTTATACGTTTTGCAAAACATAATATAATGTAATCCATATAAAGTGGTTAAAATCAGCTGCATCTGCAACATTAAAATGCTGTTTACATGTTAATGCACATGTATCTTCCACACTGTGGTATTGATACTTTTACCTAAGTAAAGGATCTGAATGCTTCCTCTAAACCGTCTCTCAACTTTTCAAACACACAGAGAGTATCCTGGGCTGGAAGCTCATATGGTTGGGAACTCTTGCAGTCTCTCCGGACCTACATGTGGCCTGTGGGAATGCCCTCCAGTGAGAGTGTTAATAGTCTGCATTTAGAGGCAGAGATGCCCCCTGCTCTCACCGCTCAGAAGGGAGGGATGGATCCAGTGAATGGGCAGCTCCTGGCAAATCTCCCAGATCTTGGAGTCAAAGAGGAAGGCTGAGTTAACGATGGGCTCCTCGGCAGGAACCCACACTTGGGAGTCATCCACCTTCATATCCATGGCCTCAGTCTCATCCACCTGCTAGAAAACACCATACACACACACACACACACACACACACACAAACATGCATGTCAGAGTCTACAAAGTATTGTCCTGCATTTGCACTGATCCTCCCCTGAGCCACGCAGCGGCTCCATCCTCATCGTTTTATCTATCACCTTTCTGTCCGCTGAGAGGGCGGCAACTTCCTGACTCCCACTGCCCCGACTCCCTCCTCTCTCTCTCTCTCTCTCTCTCTCTCTCTCTCTCTCTCTCTCTCTCTCTCTCTCTCACCCTCCTCTCGAGCCTCCAGCATGCTCTTTCTATTATACATCATTGAAATTCACAGACAGTGATGATTTGACTTTTAAATGACTTTAGAAGTGGTCTTCATTACTCTGAGTGTGGCTGCAATATCGTTTAATGTGACAGACACAATAAAGCCTTGCATTCTCCTCCCTCCTCCCCCCCTTCCCTCCCTTCTTTCCTCCCCCTCCACCACAATGCTTCGCTTGGCACCCAGCACTATCTGTGGGCTTAATTTGTTGATACTGTAGTTCATGAGCTGTAAAGTAAACTATTATTGCTTAATGATAGGGACTACATGTCAGTGTTGTCTAATAGAGACATATGAAGGAGATTTGGTAATGCTCTCCCCTAACAGTGGAGATATTTATTTTCTTCATGTATATGTAAATACACACACAAACAAACCCCTCTTCCCATTCCCTTGTTAATTAGCAACCCAGAACAGAAAAACAGTTCACTTGACAAATGTTTTTACAAGGTGATTTTCTCCCAGTCTAAAGCTTAATTGCACATTAGTTAAGCTTGACGTAGAATCCTGGGGCTATAGTATGAGCAAGAATCATTTATATTGGGTCGTGCCCCCTCCCTCACGTTAACCCTTGTCACTCTCGCTTGAATTAGAGTTTCGCTTTTCACGCTGCTTCTAGTTTGTCAGTTGTGACCTGCAGAGAAGAAAAGGAAACAAGACTTAAGCACATTCTGTCACATCAAAGATTGCATTCCGGCACGGGAGGTGTCAAGCTTTTGACACACTTTCCCCCACTTTTAAGCACCGGGCAGTAGACTAATGATGACTCGGAGGACTGGTGTAGCGGGGTTGTGGTGGTACGGCGGAGGGGGTGCTCTGGCATTGAGTTTGTGCGCTCACCGCTCTAGTCGCTGCAGAAATTAAAATCAAACTCGAGGAACACAAACAGCACTCTCTAATTGGACCTCTTAACCACTGAAGCCAAGTGAGTCTTCTCTGGAAAGTAAATGGAGGTCACGACAGGGGGCTCACAACTTGACTTTGACTTCACAGTTGAGAAACGACTCCAATAACTTGTAGGAAAGGGCCTGGGGGGAAGTGGTAAAGGTCAGCATTTTAGCATGGGGCAGGGATTTCTAAATGCCAGTTGACAAGCACAAAGACAACATGATTACAGTCCTCCAGTTTATACAGACCCTTGAAAGGCTTTTCCATTTTGCTATTGACAAATGATATAGTATTATTAGAACACAAGGAACTTTTTATCAAATGTTGGACCTTGGGAATGATGGTAATTTGTTTTGTGTGGCCTGCTCCTGGTGTATGTATTCTTTCCGCCTACAGTGCACAACTTAATTATACACCAGTTGTGCTGTAGTTAATGAATTTACCCTCTCCTGCCACTGTGTCCCAAGGGGGGAAACACTGTCTACATGACACATTGTTTAAAGTGATGCTATGTTTGCCAGAGATCAACAAAGATTTTCTCATGATGCCCAAGAGCTTTTACATACTGCACACAGGGAACGGGGTTTTATTATTCACTGTACCAGGTGATGAATTTTAGTTGACCCATATTCAAGTTACTATGAAAATTGCTTAAGGGCACTAAAGGCCTTCACATCAGCATTTAAAACAGTGAAAAGTTATGGCACAAATCAATTCATCTCAAGTGGATTTTCTAGTCTGTGCAAAGTAAATCTGTGCAACTTTTTGCGGTGGAGTTCAACTTTGGTGAACTTTGACATGTAAATTTGCACCACTGACAAATAGCAAACTGTCTTTATGGTGCTGACCTTTGAGGGAACAGACAGCCAGAGAATTCAAAATAGAAGAAGCTATTGTAGTTGTGGAAGTATAAACTGCTGTGCATCTGCTCGGATGTGTCCTTGTTTTGTCTTACAGTTTGTTCACAAAAATTCAATTAAATATTGTGTCATAAACTGCCCCGCGAAAGAGGCATGGTTGCCAGACAATTATGAGGGAGGAGTTGGTTCCAGCTCACCTGGTAGAGCGTGCGTGGGCTGAGTCCTTACTGCAGCAGCCCCGGGTTCGATTCCAACCTGCAGCCCCTTTGCTGCATGTCACCCCCCAACCCGTCTCAGTTAGAATTATTGAGATGACCAGAGCTATATGTTCCTAGCTGGCTAGCATATTAGCGGTTAGCTGATCGGCCTCACCAGTTTACTAACCAGCCCTAAGACACGGATGAATTTTGCTGGGCCACTTCTGCGTGTGAGCGGACTTTATTATGACTCTCTGGTCACCCTGTTATTAATGGAGCTCATATCTCCTCACAGACCAATATGAGAGAAAACAAACCGTACCGAGTGTTTGCAGGACTTTGGTGTAGTCACGTTCTCTGCTGTGGTGTTGTTCTTTTCTTCTTTCTGCAGTTGTTGTCTGAGTGGGAGGTTTTGGGTTGCTGGGTGAGCTTTGGTCATCCATATTAAGTGGCTGTTTAATGGAGCAAGCAGCATCCGTTGACAATGTTAAGGGGTGTGAGGGAGGCAGATGGTGGTTTCTGTGTCAGACTACGGGAACTGGAATGAAGCTCAGGGATTACTCCTCAGACATTTCATAGAGGAGGCAAATTGAAAAGGGAGGAAAAAATCCTGGCAAACAATTCATGTTTGTCACCTGGTTCTCCCTCGCAGGGGCTGCATTTCCTTATCAGCCGCTTGCAGTTTTTCCGCAATTTTTGCCATTGTTTTTCACCTCAGCTCTAAAGCCTGCCGCGGCTGCTCTGAGCCCTCTTTCCCAAAAGCCTGCGGCTGGGTTAAGCTAGGAACCATTAGTGCTTGGCTTTAACCCCTGTGAGCTTCATGTGTTTCACCACACGAGGAGGAACTCGTGCTGATCTTCTCTAGGGTCACGTGTGGGTGGATTCTCACAGAGGAACGATCAGAGGCCGCCGTCTAATGTGAGGACAGACCTTGGTGAGGTCAGGCCAAGGTCACTATTACCTAAGTATAGGCATTTACTGTCTTTCTCTTGTACACTCCAATGTTTTTGGAGCGAAAACTGCAGCAATACTAGCAGCAAAATAAGGAGTAATGTCAAAAGTAAACTTCGTTATAGCTGAGATTATTGGGAGAATAATGTGGCATTTGTATGGTATTTTAAACATATGAATCAAATAATTAGTTTGACATTTGGGGAAATACGTTTATTCAGTTTTTTGCTGAGAGTTAGAAGAGAAGATCAACCCCACTGTCATGTCATCAGCAGATGATGGCCCTGTGCACAGCTGTGAGTTCATTCATCTTTCAGGGTGCAGGAACAATGTGGTAATGCAAAGAAATTCCAGTGCACACTAGAAATGCCAGATCTTCGTCATGTATTAGTTCAGTCATACATCATTACACATTTCTGAGCTAAAAACGTGTTTTGCATTGTGACTTGCTGGTGTCTTGGAATGGTAACTGTGTGGTAGCCAGGCAACCAGCAGAAACACCAGGAAGTAATTGTGCCCTACCAAACAGTTGCAGATAACCCTTGCATAAAAGCACAATTTGGTCTTTGTATGGCTTAAATAGAAAAATTAAATACAACGTGTTAATTAGTGAGTTTCAGAGGAGCTGGTAGACAGATGTTGTTATGTTCAGGCTAGCCCCTATTTCCAGTCTTTTTGCTAAGCTAAGCTAATCAATCTCCTCATCTAACTCATGAAAGCAAACAAATGTATTTCCCAAAATGTTATGTTTATATATACTTTGCCACAGCTAACACCCATTATGTTGATAATGTTTTTTATCAACATAAAGAGGAACATTTTTTCATGATTTTATATACAATTTTAAAAATAATTGTGTACTAAATGTATCTGCAAAACATTCAGTTACAACATATTTAATTTGTTTTCCTACAGTATCCTTCTTTTGCAATGCAAAATTGGCTTGTAGCAAACTGAACCACCAAGGTGCCTTTCTGGCCTAAATCTGATTCAATGTCGGATGATGCAAATCCTGCACTTTGTACACCCACCATCCAACTTAACCACCTCCCTATGACTAGCATGGTGTTCAAAAACATGAACGATCATTGCCTGCGGATACAATCCAGCTGACAATGTACTTGATTTAATAAATTTACAAATATAATTTCCAGGAGACGTTGGAGATATTTTGCTCCATGGTTATCACTACTTAGCCTGATTTAAGAAGGTGTACTTCAGTGTCATCTCCCTAGCAGTGTATGATTATTCTTAAAGATAAACAACTTAATGTAAATCACAGCTTGAACATGGTATAAAGTAATCTATTTTTCTCATTTTAAAGGCTTCCATAACTACTGGAATGAACCCCAGTCACTTCCCTGGCCTTAGATGATTCACTTTGGAACTGTGAATTAAGCCAATTAGGCCTCACAGTGCACAAAAGAAGACAGAAATGGCATGGACATATGGTGCTGCCTGGGCAATTAGTATCTGTAAACGTGGATCAGACATTATGGAGATAAAAGGGGAAAAATTAAAAGAAAACAGTGTTTGGTTTTTGGGCGTAACAGCTTGTGTTCTTAAAGTTAAAACTGAGACTGGGTTTTGCTTGGACTGACAATTGGTTTATTCTGTTTTTAAAATGAAGCTGCGAGCGTCAGATATTTGCCAACTACTGTACTTCTTCCCAGCTACAATGTGAAATGTAAATGAGAGCATGCAAGCAGAAGAGACATTTGAGAAAGGGATTTTCTCTTTGAACATACAGCCCACTCAATGGATTGCACTGTGACACTGAAAAATTGGGAATTTTGATTGATTGAATCTCTTCCATTCCTTTTGCTGAAGTTCACATACAACTATGAGAACCCAGAGAAGAAAAAATGAATCACTCTAAACTTAGAGAGGGAGTCTTGTGAATTTTACAAAGAAATCATCTTTTAAAAAATACCATTTTAATGGCTTACCTCTCACTCAGACCTCTCTTGCACCCTTCCCCTTTAGGCTATTTGGATAGAGCCTTTGGAGGAGATGATTAAAAATTAATATTGGCTCAAGATTGACAGCAAACACCATTTGATGTGAGCCACAAAGAGGCTATGAGTTTGTGGGCAGCTTTCTGACGGTTTCACAGGCACCACAAACCCCAGTTTATTCTTCAGTGAGAAGGGTGGGGGAGATAGGATAAGATGGACAGGCTGAGGATTTGTGTGGTGCTCACAGTGCTCAACTCTGGTTATCTCCCTACAATATGCATGACAGCCTCTGTAGGACTACAGAGAGTCTGAGGTACAGACAGCCAAGGGAGGAGGTGTACCAGTAACTCTGTGTCCTCAGCCTCCACCTCTGCCTCTGTTGGTAGTTTCCTAGTTTGGGTCCTGATGTAGCACCTCTGATGTTCGGCAAACCGGATCCCAGTGATTCCCTTTGAAAAAAAGAAAAAGAAATGAGGGGATACTCAGAAATTCAGATATATGTATCATTCATTAGCTTGCTGTGATGTGGATATCCCATAAGCACTGGGGAGATCATTTTAAAATGCTCAGCTTTTTGCTGATAATCAAAGCTCTTAAAAAAGTCAAAGAAGTTAAAACCTAATGAGTGAGAAGAGGTGTGTTTTGATCTTTTTTCTTTTCTTTTAGCGTAGTATAAAATGGATGACTGCTTGGCCCTTGCAACACAGCTCTTGCTTTCAAGCTGAATAGAGGTAAAAAGGCGGGGGTGTTCCACCATGGTTGTATAATACTTTATAGCAGGATATATCGCACAGGAGAGCCAAGTGACTTTGTTGAGAATGAAGTGTTTTCTACAGAGAGTGCCCCCATTGAATTAGGCAGTCATAGGTCCCTGTCACTCTCTTAATCTGCGCAGTCAAGTGTGGAGTCACTCTCTTCAGCTCCACTGATGATCCTCCACCATGTGGACTGTAGCTCTATTCAGTCTGACACATAGAGCCTCAATAGGCAAGAAAGATCTGTTAATTCTCTCTCGCTGCCATTCTGTGTTAATCTAAGATATTCAGCTGGAATAAGTCTGAAAGACTTTCAGTAGATCAGATTGTATCCAATTTATTTTCTGCAGAGTAGAGCTGCTCATTCAGCAGACTGTATTAGAACAGACGGCAGGATCTACATCTGCCACGGCTGCTTTAAAATTGTATCAAGTGAAAATTCTATGAGCGGTACCATGAAAATGGACTTGATTCAATCTAAATTTAATTACAGTAACACGGTGATTGCTATGACATCTCCTTTGAATCGGTTAACCTGACCATGTGGGTGCTGTTTCTACATTTTCTGTGGAGCTGTCAGTCTGAAAACCAGATACCAGCCGCACAAGACATGATACAAAGTGATGCCTGTCATAATGTACCGCATGTAATTTCATCTGTGCGGAAAAACGGATGGGGCAATAATAGTCTCAAGCACACAAGCATAATGTTTATGCCGGGCTTTATTGTGATGAGTCTCTGTTTAATTTGGGTCTACTGAATTGGTTGAGCTGCAGCAGAAGAGGAGAGGGCACTGTTGTGATGAGATACAATGATTACTGGGGTTGGTCAATCAGAAAATTAAGAAAGATGCATTAGTGCAGGGATGAGAAATGGAAAAGGGATGTCATTTAACAGACAGTGTTAAAATATTCACATGGCGTATGTGCAAGACGCTCATCTGCGTCTATTCAAGAGAATAGAAAACATGTAACCACATGCATCATTCAGCTCCTGTGAATAAAGAACTAAAGTCATGTCAGCAGGTATTAGTTGGGTCGATGCCTTAATATTACTCACATAATTGTATGTATTTAAGGGACATTTCTTCCTCATGAAATATCCAACTTACAATCTCAATCTTTGTGCTTTAACCCATAGCATAATAAATGGCTTCATGTGTAACTTCTGCATGTAACATAATACATACAACCATCATGCATAATCATCTTCCTATTAATTGCATAAATCATGGTCACATTCTGAAGCCTGGTAATAGCTCTTTCCACAGTATCACCAAAATCTAAGCAGTATGTAACGTTACTGTAGGCTATCCTCACAATCATCAGTAGTTCCTGCAGTCATGGATTTAAAAAATGCTTCAAAGAACTTTTGCACGGATGAACGCTTGAGGGGATTTGTGTTGCTTCCATATTATTTGCTCTGAAATAAGGATGCAATAGTACCTACAGTATACATTTCAAATTCCCCTCTGACCATCACATCTTCATGGCTAAAGGCTATCTGAAACAGAGACAGCGCTGGACTGAATCCATAGTAGGGAATGGGAATTCTGGGACTTCATTTTTGTCGGCGTACGTAGCTGTCATTATCTCGTCACTGAAAAAGGTAATTTGTCACCTGGCAATTGTTTATCATCAGAAATTTATAAAGTACATGCAAAAGGCATATTTTACCAGCATTTCACTGTTCACTGTTGGCTGGTGATTATTTTGTTCCCTGACTGTCAGTAAGGATGTTCAGCATAACATCTGTTATAATAAGGTGGGTAAAAAATCTATGAGAAAAAGTAACTTTTATTGTTTCAAATAAATTTAATAAAATAAAAACAAACAATAAAATGAAGAGATAATGAGGATTACACTGCTTCTGTCATTGCTATATGCTACTCACTGAAGCTGATTAGTTTCACCATCACATCCACTGTAATGATTTGCTGACTGTGAGATATCAAAAGTCATATGGACACAGCCAGTTCTGGTTATCAAAGTGAGGGCTCCAGCTCCATTGTAGATAATCTATTAGAGAACATACCGGTAGTTGGAAAACAGTGAGAAATCTTCAAAAACATTGCATTAATATTACTTATTATAGATGCAGTCACCAGCTGTTTATTCCATCATCTGTTGTGATTCATGGATATTGGTTATCTTGAGCTTCAGGCGAGATGCTATTTGAAGGTAAGGAGCTAAAACAATATGATAACAGTATGGAAGCACAACTCAATCTGGTCCAGCCAGCAATAGCTGTGCTGAGAGGCTGGTGGCTGTTATGTGTATGTTGAAGCAGACAGCTGATCTAGTTGGCCTGGTGGTAAGAAATAGAGAGAAGAAGAAGAAGTGCAATACTTGCAGTGCTGGGATACAAAATGTTTAGTCCACCTCTTATATACAAGGTGGCACACTGATGCAGTGGTGCTGTGCAACCTTGTAGCAAGAAGCTCTGGGTCCTCTGAGCTGTGACTGCCAGTAGCAATGTCTCTCGTATTTGTATCAGATTTGTGGCCAGATCAAATTTACATGAAAACATCAGCAAGCATAGAATCCAATTCTTTGTTCCATAAAGGCATAATTATGGCTTTTGGTTTGTTTCCCAACCGATGTGTAGAGAAGGAAACTTCTTTACTTTGGAGCCCTACAGTAGAACAGTGTCTTATTACAATTTCTGAGGAATTTTCAGGCAACTACAGTCTTCAAGTGGAAAGTGAGAGAGATGACTGAAATACACTACCAGAAAATAATGTCATTGGAGTGTATTAAATTTACCAAAGAGTTTGTTTTATTTTTCACTATCTGAAGTTTTGTAATGTGAATCTGAAAAAAAACAACTAAACACAAAATGTCTTTTTGTTGAGTTTTTGTTATTTCAGCTCTAATTGTATTCTGATTATATCCTAACCTTGCTTTGGTGTACAGTTAAAACATATAAACTAATTTGTGCTGTAACACCAAAGCAGTTATTTTATTGAGCTAAAATTTTAGTTCAAGGCCAATTTTCCTAAATGTGCTTTTTGATCGCTTCTCAAAAATATTTATTAAGAGTTTATTTATTAATTTATTTCAATGTAAAAATGACCCTGGTGGCTCTCTCTCAGGATGTCTCTTTCTCCAGTTTTTTCCATCTTCTCCTGTTAAAATGAGTGTAGTATTGGTTTGAAACAATAGTGAATGGATTTCGCCTATGGTCCAAGGTCTTGGTGGCATAATCCCCTCATTTTCCATTCCTCACACAGCCCTCAGGCTTAATGCAGACTGATTTTCGAGGTGGCTTTTGGTCTGTGTAATACATGCAACATCCTCTTTTTTGTATTAGAAAAATCTATTCCAACATCAGTGGACAAGCTACCACTTAGAATAACCTATTGTATTTTGTATGGTTTTGCCCCCCCCTTTTTTTTTTTTCTCTCACAGTAAGGTTTGAATTACTCTGCTCACTCGCTTGTTTCTTAGTCTTCCATGGTGGAGCACTGAATCAAACAAATCTCCTCAGGGGATGTGCTTCACTAACAGGAAGTGGAACAAGCAACAGGCATGTGTGTTTATGCATGTGTGTGTGGGTATGTGGGACACACACACACACACACACACACACACACACACACACAGTACTGGGCTTGTTGAGGGAGAGAGAAGGAAATAGAGAGATTGATTGCAGAGGTTAAAGTTTTCCGGCACTGTGCTTGGTTTCCATCATATAGCCATTTTAGATTGACAAAGACCATTGTAACAAAAACAATAGCAACTCAATGTAGGTTTTTGTTTGTGATGAGGTGTATCCTGTAACGTTCAGCCTTGCAACCCAACATTTCTTTGTAAATAATGGTGTGCGAATAAGAGCATTCATTACCCAGTCAAGCAGCACGCTCCCTTCTCAGAGGTGCAGCGTTACCTCCTGCACACTTGAGCAGGATTTAGGAATGAAAGGTAAGTTAATGAGTTCAGCTGGAGACAAAATTGTAATTGAAAAAGGTGTGAGAAACAAATGCATGTAGTGATGTGCTTCTTAATGGTGTTTGTCTTTGTGCTGAAAAGAAGTTACTGTATAGAATTAGCGGGAAGAAAGCCGCCTTTTAGTAAGAGACCAATCTTTCTTTCTTGGCTGCTGCGTGTGCACAAAATCTGAAGGGGTACAGTTACTGATTTAAATTCAGTTACTGACATTACATGTAGGTATTTTTAAGTATTTCTGATCCCCGTTTACACCTAACTGAGTATAATTTCCATTGTTTTGTTTCCCAGGTGCTTCAAAGGTTTGTCATTGAGAGTGACAAAAGAGGAGAAAACATTGTTGCAGAAGAAAATATTACTTCAACAAAGGATAAATGCTGTCAACTGGCTGTTTGAAAAGGGCAGGATGTGAACATCATAATCCTTCCTCCGCTGAAGAGTAGATACAATTACAGAATCAAGCTTTCAGCAGAAGAATAGCTTACATGGCCTTGTTTAACCTTTTACTCACATTTTTAAAGTCGTGCACCTCGAGAACTTCGTTGCTCCCGTTTCCCATTCTGAAGATCTCAATGCGCTGACCTGGGTCAATCTCCATCATACTCTCTGTTTCTATGCCATCCAACACAGCTTTGTACTGATGGTCATACACCTGAAATGACATGAACAACCTTACATCACTAATACAATACAATAGATCATTGTGACACTGTGTATTTATCATTGGCAATCGTTTTGTACCAGGGGGTTGTAATAGTTGATGACAACTGTTCATCATTCAATAACTCTGCACTGAATATGTACGAACAACCTGTCCAGACTTCTGAACTGCTGCCCAGCAACTCAAACAGGTCTTGTGTAGACGGCTGTTTCCCATGTTGGAAAAATCAGTGAGTGCACAGTAGCTAACCTGGTAGAGTGTGCCCCATGTAGGTCCTTACTGCAAGAAGATGAAAATTAATATGTTAAAACTGCATTAATTGAAACATGGAGGCCTCCATGGAAGGAGTCTGTAAACAGGTCATTTTAAGGTAATGCAAACACAATGATTCCTAGTTTCAGGTGATTATACACTTATTAAAACATACCTATGAATATTATATTCCATTTCTGCCAATAGATCCTCTTAAATGTTAAACACTGGACCTTCAAAGTATACTGTAAAATGCTCCTTTAACTCCCCATAGTAGCCAGTTACATCGCAGCAACATCCATAATAGCAGCTACTGTATTGACTTGGAAATGATGTCTCAAACACAAAATCTATGTCAAAGCAGTCAACATGACAGCAGCTTTAACTGCTGTATTCATAAACTACCATCAGTCATAATCATTTGCGCAATTAAAATATTTCTGTTGACAAGTTAAATAAGAAAAGGTTTTGATAAATGGTGCAAGTAAGTAAAATAAAGACCCTTTGAATCTCCTGTACAGTGAAAGCCTTCTCTTCACTGTTGCCTTAAAGCTGTGTTGTTTATCACAACTGCTTGCTTATGTACTGTTCTTGGACATGCATGGATAGCTCTTAAAATTCCCTGTCTGAAAAATGATTCATGCCCACCAGCTGAAAAGATGCTATTAATATTTATGTGAGGGTTGTGTTATGATGAGAAATATATTGCTGAGTTCATCTTCATCTGTCTCAGTGGCAAATCAGAGCCTCGCCAATGAGACGCATGATTAATGAATACACTCGGATGGGAGTCCATCAGGATTTATATCCCTCATCAGAAACATCTGAATGTCCTCTAAGGCTCTAACACAAAATTAGCTTTCACTTTACACTCTTTCGCATGCTCAGGATTTAACATGTTTTGTATCTGCTTGCTTATACGCAATATCCAGGACTTTTAAATACACTACATCACATATAGCAATGACTTTACTTTTTTTGGTGGGAGAACAGAGTAATAATGATCAAATGGGATATAATTCTTAATAGAAGATCACTGTTAGAATGGCACTAGCCTATAAATCTCCATTAACATGGGTCACAGTAGCCTTGGCTCCAAAGAGAAGTAGAACTTAAAATCGTCAGGAGAAGCCAAATTAAGATGGGCTTGAAATTTAAGTGTCAATTGAGCAGTTATGGATAAAATTGCGGCTATTAAACAGTCTGAAAGTCTGTGTGGTGAATTAAAGTTCTATTTGAGCATTTCTTTTATATTAACATAAAGGTGGAATGGGGGAATAGATTCTGGAGGCTTATTGATTTATACTAAAACAGTGAATTACATTTTCAGCAGGCTATCACTTTTGATGAAAATCCAGCAGTGAGAATCTCCCCACCGAACCAGGTTGAAATAGATAATAATGTATTACAACAGTTTGACTTCAACTGGTTCAATATTCAAAGCTTCTGCTGTGCACCATAATTGGCATTCTGAAAATAGAAATGAATAGGCTCTGTATGGCCTCTTTTGATACTTATAGATGCTTCAGTACATTGGGAAACTTGCAGTTTGATTTATGCTGCAATAAGGGGGAAGATTTCAGAACACAACACAATATTTTGCCTCATTGTAATGCCGATGATCGTTATAATTTGTTTTTGTGTTGATTCTCATTATTTCCATCGTACATTTTGAAAATATGCAATGGGAGATTTAAAGAGGGCTTGTTTCTCTTAATTTACTTATCTTGTACCATTTCTAAACAGCAATTCACAGAAACTGTCACTTGGCTACAAAACCTTTCAGGAAAAAAACGTACTGTGAAAGTTAATTAGCTTCCCATATGACACTGAACAGGCAGATAAAAGGCCAGCACATAGGAAGGGCTCCAATTTATATTACACTCTCTGTACAAAGGCTACTATGTGACCAGTTTGCTCACAAAGACTTTCAATACATTTGAAAATCTACTGTGACATTAAAGCTGCAGTAACATTATTTAAAAATACACCAGACATTAACTCGTCCGCTTACTAGATCACTCAGAGACACTTATGTCACAGAGCTGACCATTAGCCCATATAGCAAATGGATATACAGTTGAGTGTGGCAGTGAAGGCATGAGCGTATCAACAAAGTGATAGTGAGACTTGAAAGGGTAAAATAGCAGCACTGTTACACCTGTAAGAACACGAAAAGATGTTACTACTCAGCTGATAGCCACATAGCTTCGTTTGACTCAATTTTGTGAGGCAAGACTGAACCAGCAGTCGGTAGTTAACTCATTCATGCACAACTTCAGTTCTCTGCCTGAACTAACGCAATGCTGCATTTTCCCAACCGCATCCCACAGTCTTCTTAACCCTTCTTAACTCCATTTACTGAGGAAGACCATGACATGCTGTGCAAAGCACCAAAAGGTAGTAAGTGGACCTTTTTGTTACTGAACATGCCCAAAGATTTAAAATTTAGAGCTTTGTATCTACTGAAGATTTAATCTTTTTCCCTGAATTATTATTTAACTGATCATATTGATCAATATTCTATTTCCTCATTTTACTTGGGTTGCAAGAAAGATGAACAAATACAACCAAAAATAACATACATCCAGTCCCTGTTGTCTCACCAGTACAACAACTTCTAACAGTTGAAGCGCAAAAAATACTTGCAGGAATAAGAGCAGTTAGTTTAAGGGAACAAAACAGCAACAATACAATGACATTTTTGGATGGTATTGTTACTTTTCAAATCTCAAGGGTGGATTTTAACACTTAAAGGTTATGTAGCAAACAACCTGGCACAGTCATGAAATGCACATTGATTGCCAAAAAAAACCATTACTGTGAAAACAACCTTGTTATTTATTGAGAAACTTCCTTCTACTATGTCCGATATCCCCGCACAACAGCTGGTCTTTTCTCACATCACAAGATGCCTCAGACTGTTGTACAGTATGAGATAAAGAATTCAGATCTCCACAGCTAGGAAGCCATTCAAGCTCAGGAGTGTGAAGCCTTCACAGACAATGGCTTGTTTATTTCCTCTGTTCAAGGTTTCTGTCTGAAGAGGTTCTTAACAATCTTCACGTAGATGGTTTCAAACACAGACTCACAGTGAAAGGACTGAATGAGAAGCGGCAGGCACAGCCAGACCTGCAGGTTGTTTGTGCGAATGGGTTCTGGTGTGGCACCCGAAGGCATTAAGCAAAGGTCACGTAGATGTTGTTACAGGTGACTGGGTCGCAGTGTGTACTGTGTGTGTGTGTGTGTATGTATGTGTGTAAGGGGGGGGGGGCAGAGCAAGAGTCTGTGCATATGTGCATCTATGGAGGAGGCGGCCGTGGGAATGAGAAAGATGAGTTGATGACAATATGTCCTCTTAGTTGTCCTTGAGGGTTAGGAGATAGAGGCTCCAGTCAGGCGGAACTGGATGCCTGTCACTCACGGCGGGGTGGTGATGGTGGTGGAGGCGGGGGGTTGGGAGGTGTAGGGGACAAGGTGGTGTGGGGGCTGCACAGTGCAGTGGCCTCCTGGGAGCCATAGGCAGCCCTGTGATAGATCGAGGTGGGCAGCAACTTAGACAGTCACACTGGCGAACATTGTGTCCTTTTGGTTTGGTCCTTTTAAAGTCCTCCCTGGTTTTAAAACACATAGAGACTCATGGGTTCAAATTCTGTTTGACAATCCTATATAGTTTATTTCAAATATATCAGCAAACATATATTATAGACAAAGAAAATCCTATACAATATAGCACTAATGATATGTAACAATAATATAAACATTAACAATTTGCAACTGCAAGTACATTTAGTAAGAAATCCAGAGAAGTCCAGATGGTTTTCTAGCAACATAATGACAAAAATGTTTACAAAATGTTGATACTGTAAAAGGTTAACCTACAAAGTATTTAATTTGCTTTTCCTATAACATCTGCTAAAGCAATACAATATGCACTCATAACAAATAAGTTAACGTGTGATGAAACTTTTTAATTGTTAGATTTAAACAGCCACAGCACTTGATTAAGGTCAGCAAAAGATCATGGTCTTGGTTAAATATAGAAAAAAAGTCAACAGTGACTTGAAACACTTAACATACCGAAACCACCATGTTTCTCTAACCCTTAACCAAAGTGATTCTGTTGCCGAAACCTAACCACGCACGAGTCAGGATACAAACCCTGGTCTCTGGTGTCAAAATCCTGTGGCTGCAATTGTTGCCTTAAGGCAGCAATTACATTTTTTAGCATCTCACAATTGGAAAAAAAAAGAATTCGTAATATATAAATGTAATTTCTAGGAGACATGGGTTGCCAAGCCATTACAAAAACTACTCATAAGAGCAGTTTCTAATCTGCAGTCCCATTGTCTAAATTATGGTTGGGTGTTAATTCAAACTACATGGGTAGGTAAGGATTGCCTTTATTATAAATATTACTTATGAAGATAATGAAAATTGTTCACTGATGATAGAAGAGACACTATCAAGCCAACCTATATAGGGGGAGTTCAAAATACAGCTTTATTAATTTATATTTGTGAGTGACTGAGTTAGATTTCTACATTAAAACGGACCCTTCCTAAATCCCACCCCTTTTTGCTCTGGGCTCCAATAACAGTTGAGCAAGCCTCGGTCAACTTTCTACGTTCCTGTCCTTAAATGTGTTATATATATATGGTCACATTTTAAAGGTCCAGTGTGCAGGATTTAGTAGCATCTAACAGTGTTGTGTTTGGTTTGTCTGTTCTGGGCTACTG